TGGGCCTATCACTTCCTGATTCTTTTTCTTGTTCTAATCATACCGGAAAAGGCCTTTTCTTATCCGCGGTATGTTCGCCTTTCCAGCCTGCTTACCAGCTTCTTAACACTTCACACTGTCCATAAACCTTGTTCTCACACTTGCAGATGGAACTCGAGCCCCCCTTTCCCCTATTAACACTATATTTAAATAATATTTAAAGTTTTAAAGCACAATTACTTTATCAAATATTTTATAGGAAAATATTAGACTTTGATTTTACTGACTTAATTTGAGTGTTAGGAAGAATGAACATGTTTATACACTGACAAGAATATATGGGGGAAAACTATAGGGACTGTGTGATAGCTACTTATACTCCCTTTTCTTTCTTTTTTAAGATTTATTTATTTGAGAGAGAGAGAGAGATCACGCAAGGGGGAGGGACACAGGGAGAGAGAATCTTAAGCAGACTGTGCTCAGCGCAGAGCCCACTGTGGGGCTTGATCTCATGACCTGAGATCACCACCTGAGCTGAAACCAAGAGTCAGACGCTTAACTGACCGTGTCACTCAGGCGTCCTTGTACTCCCCTTTCCCCTCATGTATATTCCTTAGTTCCTTTTGTCCATGTGTTCTTTTGGCTTATTTCCATAATTTTTGGTTTGCTTTCTTTCTGGCAGCCATTTTTATTTTAAATTATTGCATACAGATGCAGAAATTACTTGACTGGCGCTACCTGCACAATTATGGAAATTAAAGAAATCACAGGATGCTGAACTGTTGGAAGACTGAACTGTTCTATATTTTTAACCAAGATAAAATTCATATACCACAAAACCTACTCCTTTAAAGGGTAAGGGACACTTCTCTGTTTTTAGTAACTTCACAAAGTTGTGCAACTAATACCACTATCTAATTTCAGAACACTTCCATCACCCCAAAAGAAACCCTGTACCCATTAGCAGTAACTCTCTATTCCTTTTGCAATGTGGATATCTAGTTGTTTACCATTATTTGTTGAAAAGAATGTTGTTTCCCCCATTGAATTGTCTTGAACCCTTGGAAAAACAAATTTACCAGACATATGGGTTTATTTCTGGACTCTCAGTTCTATTCTGTCAGTCTCTGTCTATTCTTATGCTACTATCACACTGTCCTGTAGCTTTGTAGCAAGCTTTGAAATGAGAAAGTATGAGAACTCCAATTTTGTTCTCTTTCAGGACTGTCTTGGCTAATCTGGATCCCTCACTTTCTGACTGAATCTTAGGATCAGCTTGTCAATTTCTGTAAAGAAGGCAGTTTGGATTTTGGTAGGGACTGCATGGAATCATAGATCACTTAGAGCAGTACTGCCCTTCTAAAAATATTAAGTCTTCCAATCCATGCACATGGGATGTCTTTCCTGTTTTGTTTTGTTTTTAGGTTTTCTTTAATTTCTTGAAACAAAGTTTTGTATTTTTCAGTGCATAAGTTTTACACTATTTTTGTTATATTTATTTCTAAACATTTTATTCATTTAGATGTATTATAAAAGGAATTATTTTCTAAATTTCAGATCGTTCATTGCTAGTGCATAGAAATGTAACTGATGTTGTATATTGATCTTGTATCCTAACACTTTGCTGAACTTGTTTAAAGTTTTTCAGAATTTTCCTAAATCCTTAGGATTTTTTATATACATGATCATGCCCTTTGTGAACAGAGATGGTTTTACTTCTTTCCAATCTACATTCCATTTCTTTTTCTTGCCTAATTGCTTTGGGCTCTACCTTTTTAAAGCCTATACAGTTTCTTGAATGACTTCCCTCTTTTGTTCTCATTAGAATAAATTTTTCTGGGAGAAGGGGACAGGGTGTAGGAGGAAGAGAGAAAATGGAGCTCTTAACCAAAATATTGCAATCGTGTGGTTTGAACTGATTTTCAGTGAGCCTCACATCCTCTCAGTGGAAATGTCTTCCTTCATAGCACCTGGGCCCAGGGATTTTCTGGGGGAATCTCTGAAATCTGTTTTCCTCAGGTTTTGGATACAAGCCTGGCTGAGCCAAATATCCACCCTTCCTTGGTTGTTACATAGTCTAAGAAAACATAGCCATTTTTCCCAATGCCCGTCTCTTCTCCTTTTTGGCCAATTCTTACTTGCTAGTTAGAGGTAGACCATCCGTGGTTTCTCTCATAGCATCCTCTGCCTTCTGAGAAATAAAACAGTTAGTGAGACAATAGGTTTATCAGCTGTTCTGCTTCTATCTCAAGAAGACTGACAAATAGTTCCATCACATCCGAAGTCACCTTCTGGGCCAGTTTTGTGATCCAGGTGAGGAGAGTCCACCAAGACTCTCCTTCCATATACTTCCAAAAAATAAATATAGTTTCTGACACTCAGGTTCTTCATCCCATCTAGAAGACCTTTTTATTAGAACAAGGCACACATTTAATTTCCTCATTCCTGATGAAGTCTTGGCTCACCATGTTCTAGTAGAGCTCTTACTTCTTCCCAGTCATGGGACAAAAGGAGGGAAGAATGGTTTTATTAAAGATGTCCAATGCACACCAAAGGCTTTGCTGACTGGCTTTAGAATGAGAGAAGTTTCCTTCCTATGAGTGCATGCTCTGTGTTACCAGTGACCTCTTGGGATATACAGGAAGCCAGGTGGATAGAAATCTTTGACTATGTAAATAGATGCACCCCATAGCCAAGTATGAGCTTCTAGTGCTCAATGGCTAGACATGAACAACCTAGGCACTGACTGGCTTCAGAAAGAAAGATAGCACTGGCTGTAGGCAGGATCCAGGATGGTCAGCACCCTGGGCCAACTCCACTGCTTCCCAGTTCCAGGGCAGGCTCTAGAGGGTAGCTGCCCTTTTGTTTGGGGCTTTCCTCCTAGGAGTTAAATCTCTTCCTCCTAGCTCCACTCTGAAACCAAACTCAGGTCTGTGTTGGCTCACCAAGCTTCCTGTCCACCTTGATTTCCTTCTAACCTCACAGGTCCACTTTGTGCCCACTACCTAAGGACAAAGTCACTTAGGCCAGGGAAGGTCTCAAGAGCAAGTGACTTCTTGGTAAGGTGACTCCTCCCTCACCCTGAGGTTGCACATGGCTCCAGTGCCTACTGAGAAGTGGTCCATTGGAAGGAAGTTGCCAGGAGTCAAATCTCAAAATCCTTCTTAAAATTATGCTTGGCCATTCCACAGAACTCCCCACAAATGATGAAAGAGAGAGAAGAGTGAGGCTATGTAAGCAGAGAGATGGCCACATCACATCCTGGGGGCCACAGGAGCACCAGGGCTCCCTAATCACACAGGGCACAGGAAAGCCCCGTGGCAGAGAGACAGGAGGAACTGCCCAGGGCGCCATGAGCGTGCCACGGCTCATGTCTGCGATTATTATAATTATGACAATGCCAGCTTCTTATCCTTTATCTGTGTGTTTCAAAAGGCCCACCTCCCACTCTTGTACCACTTGGTCACGATACTTCAGTATCCCATATACTTAAACCGAGACCTTAAAGGTATTGTCTGTCATCTTTCAAGGTACCGGTTACTGTAACATTTCTATGGTTTGAGTGTCTGGGGTGATCTATTTAATACTATTTTCCCCTTATTAATAAGCACCAAATAAGTCAATTTAAAAATTATTTCCTTCAGTCTTCCTTCACGTTCACTTTACTCTCTAGAACTATATTTCAATATAGTGTATTTGCTTTGCTGAATTCATTCATAGTGTATCTGTGCGTCTGGATTGAACACATTTCCTGTAGTGACAACTACTCTATTTGTAGGAACTATTTAGGTCACTGGAGTGGAGAAAAAGAGGCCACTGTTTAATAGAAAAGGCATATATCCAAATATAGATGCAGTTTTCTGAACACCGGTTGAACATCAATGATGGAGAGATTGTTACAATTTCCCAAACCCTAGACCAAAACCTTAAATGATTAGTCCTTTGTTTAAACTGACCCAGAGTTTAATCCAGGAAAATAAGTTTCCTAACCCCTAAAAAAGTGAGTCTTAAAAAAGTGTCTTACTTCTGCTTTAGAAGTAACACAGTCTCTTCAAAAAGCAATGTTTCGATGTAAATGATTTCCCAACAAAATCACTTCAGAGGAAGCTATATGAGTTGAGCCTTAGGGCATGCACGGTAATTGTTTGCTTTCGGAGACAGAGCAAGCATGACAAATATTTTCAGTTGTCAAGGGAGGAGGGAATGACCCACCTAAGAAATGGAAACCAACGAAGAGTAATACGACACTCCCCCTTAGTTCCACTGGGCGCCGGCTGGGGCTGCTGCACAGTTAACTTCCTATGGCCGGATAAAGGCGAGGCTGGGCAAGAGCTGAATAAAAGCGGCCTCTCTACCCGCTCCCCCAACACTGTGGTGGGGGACGGCATGCAAGGACTTCAAGGGAAGGGGGCATTGGAAAAGTACCCTTTACTGTTGCCATTCATTCATTCATGCATGCGTTCATTCATTCATTCATACATTCCTTCAATAAATAGTTATGCGCTGGGGGCTTAATTCTTCAACTATGACTCAACAGCCCATTCGGATACCACACACCTCCGTCCCCATTTCTAGCCCTAGGCCTCACTCGCTCATCAAGAAGATGCTTATTACAGCCTCGCTCTCCTCCCTCCCTTCCCCGGGTCCCGGGCCAGGGTGACGGGACAAATCCAGTCAGAAGAGTCCCTTACCAAGAGCAAGGAAGGAGGACTCAGAGTATATGGAGAAGCGGTTTCGGGGACCTTCCTGCCTGCATGGGGGAGAGGCGGCCCCGTCTTGGGCGGCCGCGCCCCGGGGCGAGGCTGAGGGCTCCCGGGCACCGCGCTTGGACGGAGAACCTGAGCTCACGCCGATGCTGGAGGGGGAAACGGCCGCGGGGGGATTCCGCACGGGCGAGTGGGCGCTGCAGGACGTCCGAGGCGGTGGGAGGCTGGTGACAGCACACGTGGGGAGGACCGCCTCCACCTAGGTGGTGGGAGCAGGCGTCGCGGCAGGGGCGACGAGCGGGCGGGGCGGGTTACCTGATGAAGGTGGTCTTGCCCGTGCTGTATTGGCCCACCAGCAGGATCATGGGCTTGTTCTCGAAGTCCGCGTCCTCCAGCGCCGGCGAGTGGAACTCGTGGAAGCGGTACGCCTCCTCCAGCGGCAGCACCTTGCGCAGGTAGAGCGAGCGCAGGCCGCCAGTCACCGTCTGCACCGCGTCGGCGCCTCCCGCGCGCTCGCGCCCGCCCGCCTGCCGCCCCATCCAGCTGAACATCCTGCAGCCGGTCCGCGCCCCGCGCCAGCCCTCTCAGTGCCTGCCCGGCGCTCCGACCCCGCTCTGAGTTCGACCCTCCCCCGCTCGCTCTGAGCTGCCCCAGCCGCTCTCGCCGCCGCCCGAGCTGGCCCCGCCTCGTGCCGTCGCAGCCAATCTCCGGTCGTTACGTCACGGCAGCTCGTTCACTATTCAGAAGGCTTGCTCAAGTCCTTCCTCATTGGGCCGCTGCCAGGGCGGGTGGTGGCGTCAGCCAATGGAGAGGAGGTTCTTAATGAATTATTGATGACGGAGTCTCCCCGCGGTACTGGGCGGAGGAGAGGGTGTCTCCCGCGTCGCTTGGCTCAGACGGGTTACCGGAGGGGCCCCTTTAGGTCGCCGGAGCCCCACCTCTGGTCAGGTGGCGTCGGCTTCCGGGCAAATCTGAGCTGGCAAAAATGAGCCTCCGGAGGCTGCTTAGTCTCCCAGGAAGTTTACTTCTTCCAGTCTTATGATACTGGGGACAACAGTGCAGAAAGTTGATAGGCAGGTTCTTTCTATCCGCTGGCAGGTTATTATTATTTACCTTCATTTTATTAGTGAAGAGACCTTGACTCACAGACATACTGACAAGATTTGAGTAAGGGGAAGGAGACTCCAATTTACTTGAGTAGATATTTCTCCTACTTCACACTGCCTCCACTAAATTCTGGGATCGATTGAAAGCCTTTTGCCCTTATTTTTCTTTATTTGATTTGATGTAAAATTGAAAGTTTAATCATCATCCTCATTATTACAACCTAATTACCACATATGGACATGTAAAGAGTTATTATTACCTCCTAGCTCTCTTTTTCAGGTTAAAAGGACACGTCTAAATTGAGACTGGGAGAAATAATCAGCCATCACTTTTGGTGTTCTAGGTAACAGTTTGAGAATATTTCTCAGTTGTTTTAGAGCATTTCTCAGGTGTGATCCATGGAGTCGCCTGCATAAGAATAACCTGGGATGCTTGTTAAAATGCAGATTTTCGGTCATCACCCCAGACACACTGAGTTAAAATACTGAGGAAGGAGGGGGCTCAACAAGTGCTCTCAGGTGATTCTGACACACCCTAAATTTGGGGAAACACAATGCCCAACAGTACTTCTCTAACTTGATAGAAATGCAGATTCTGATTCAGGGATATGCATTTCTGACAAGCTTTCAGGTGTTTCCAATGCTGTTTGTCTATGGACTATAATTGCTGGGCCAGGGCTGTGGTGAAGAGAGAACAGGACTTGGCATCAAAAGACCTGGGTTTGAATCCTGACTACAGAAGTTAATGGCTATATGGCTTTAAATGCAATGAGCTGCCTCTCTGCCTCAGTTTCCTTGTTTGTAAAAATGGGAACTCCTTGGGAGTTGTTGTGTGGATCAAATATTTAGAGGAAGCTGTATGTAACTAGGGAAGTGAAAAGAAAGCCAAAGGAAAATGAACTTGGATATCTGCCTCATGTCAAAATAAAACAAAGATTAAAATGTAAAAATAAAATACATAGAACTACTAGAAGAAGGTACAGGTGAAGATTTATAAAATTTTGGAAGGGAAAAGCTTTTCTGATCAAAACCAAAGACAAATTATGAAGAAAAGGTTGACAGTTTTCTCAACAAAAAAGTAAAAGCTTTAGTGTATTTTTAAATATACAAACCCATGTAAACATACTCTTTACCATATGATCCAGAAATTGTAGCCCTTGGTATTTACAAATAAGTTGAAAACTTATGTCTGCACAAAAACGGCACATGGATATTTATAGCAGCTTTATTCATAATTGCCAACCCTTGGAAGCAACCAAGATGTCCTTCGCTAGATACACTTCGCTATGGTATGACCAGCTGATAGAATATTATTCAGTGCTAAAAAGAAACGAACTATCAAGTCAGGGAAAGACAGAGAGAAACCTTAAATCCATACTACTAAGTGAAAGAAAACAATCTGAAAAGGTTGCATACTGTGTGATTTGACTATATGACATTCTGGAAAAGGCAAAACTATGGGGACAGTAAAAGGATCAGTGATAGCCAGGGGTTAAGAAAGAGGGAAGGATGAATAAAAGGAGCAAGAAGACTTATAGAGTAGTGAAAATAATTCTGTATGATAATGTCATTATACATTTGTCCAAATTCATTGACCGTGTAACACCAAGAGTGAACCCTAATGTCAACTGTGGATTTTGGGTGATAATGATGTGTCATTGTAGACTAGATTCATTGACTGTAATGAAGCAATTACACTCTGGTGCAGGATATTGCTGACATGGGATGTTGATAGTGGGAGGCTATATATTGGGGAGGCAGGGGTACATGGAAACTCTGTACTTTATGCTCCATTTTGTTGTGAATCTAAGACTGCTCTAAAAAATTCTATTAAAAATAGTGTATATAAAAAATAAACAAATCCATAAACAAAGGTAAAAGGCAAAAGACAAATTGGGAAAACTATTGACAGACATATATAATAAATATATTTAATTAAGGATATTAGAACTTTAAAGGCTACTGTAAAATTATTAAGAAAGAAATGATGCTCCATTAGAAAATGAGCAGAGGACATAGGCAACTAACAAGACAAATATAATTGGCCAATAAACATTAAATGATGCTAACCTCCATTAATAATCAAAAAACATAAATTTAAAATAATAGATAACATTAAGAATGGCAGACTTATTTTTATAAGATAATGCCTAATGTTGACAAGAGTGTGGAAAAAGATACCATCTCATACATTGCTCGATATGGTGTAAATTGGCACTTTAATGGAGTCCATACTTATAAAAAAATCTTGAAAACACACATTCAAGACTTCTGTAACATCGTACTTAATGATGAAATAACTGAATGCTAACATCAGGAATAAGGTAAAGATGTCTACTCTTATCACTTCTGTTTAATGTCATACTAGAGGTTCTAACCAATACCATAAGAAAAAGAAAAGGTATCCAGTTTGGATAGGAATAAGTAAAATTGTCTTTATTTGCAGATGATATGACCATCTATGTAGAAAATTCTATAGAAGCTACAAAAAATGCTACTAGGATTAATAAGTGAGTTCAGTCAGGGTACTGGATACAATACACTTATACAAAAACCAGCTATGTCTTTATATACCAGAAATGAACAATGGGACGGTGAAATAAAAAATCAATGTCACTTGTAATAACATCAAAAATATGAAATATTTAAGGATAAATCAGATAAAAAATGTACAAGGTCTAGGGGTGCCTGGGTGTCTCAGTCGGTTAAGCATCTGACTCTTGATTTAGTCTCAGGTCATGATCCCAGGGTCCTGGGATAGAACCCTGCATCAGGCTCCCTGCTCAGTGGGAGGCCTGCTTCTCCCTCTCCCTCTGCCTGCTTGCGTTCCCTCACTGTCTCTCTGTCAAATAAATAAATAAAATCTTTTTAAAAAAAAAAAAGATTCTCTCTCTCTCTCTGCCCCTCCTCCCTGCTCCTGTGTGTGCTCTCTCTAATAAAAAAAAAAATGGGCAAGCTCTATACACTGAGAACCACAAAGTATTTCTGAGAGAAATAAAAAAGGCCTAAATAAATGGAGATATATACGATATACCATGTTTATGGATCAGAAGACTCAATATTGTTAAAATGTCAATTTTCTCCAAACTAATGTACAGATTCAGTGCAATTCCAGCAGGCTGTTATTTTTGTAAGAACTGACAGGCTGATTCTAAAATTCATATGTAAATGAAAAAGACCTAGCCAAAGCAACTTTGAAAAAATTAACAAAGTTGGAGGACTTACACTACCTAATTTCAAGACTTACAAACCTACAGAAATCAAGACAAGACAGTGTGGTATTGGTATAAAAATAGACTAATATATCAATGAAATAAATAGAGTTCAGAAATAGACCCACACATCTATAGTCAATTGATTTTTGACAAAGTGCAAAGACAATTCAATGGATGAAAAAGTCTTGTCAACCAATAGTACTAGAACAATTGAATACCCATATGCAAAAATATAAACTTTGATCCACACCTTGCACTGTATGTAAGAATTAACTCAAAATGACTATAGACATAAATGTAAAACTTAAAATTATAAAACTTCTAGAAGAAAACATAATACAGGGGCACCTGGGTGGCTCAGTTGGTTAAACGTCTGCCTTTGGCTCAGGTCATGATCCCAGGGTCCTAGGATCTAGCCCTGCATTGGGCTCCCTGCTCAGCGGGGAGCCTGCTTCTCCCTCTCCCTCTGCTGCTCCCCCTGCTTGTGCTCTCACTCTCTCTCTCTCTGTGTCAAATAAATAAATAAAATCTTTAAAAAAAAAAACAGTAGAAAATCTTTGGATATTATGTAGGGAAAGGTTTCTTAGATGATACCAAAAGCATGATCCATAAGAGAAAAGAAATTAATAAATTGGACTTCATCAAGATTAAGAACTTCTGATATTTGCAAATGACATATCATACAAAGGGCTAGTATCCAAAATCTATAAAGAACTTATCAAACTCAACACCCAAAGAACAAATAATCCAATCAAGAAATGGGCAGAAGACATGAACAGACATTTTTCCACAGAAGACATCCAAATGGCCAACAGACACATGAAAAAGTGCTCAATTGCTTGGCATCAGGGAAATCCAAATCAAAACCTCAATGAGATACCACCTCACACCAGTCAGAATGGCTAAAATTAACAAGTCAGGAAACGACAGATGTTGGCGGGGATGTGGAGAAATGGGAACCCTCCTACACTGTTGGTGGGAATGCAAGCTGGTACAACCACTCTGGAAAACAGTATGGAGGTTCCTCAAAAAGTTGAAAATAGAGCTACCATACGATCCAGCAATTGCACTCCTGGGTATTTATCCCAAAGATACAAATGTAGGGATCCGAAGGGGTACATGCACCCCAATGTTTATAACAGCAGTGTCCACAATAGCCAAACTATGGAAAGAGCCAAGATGTCCATTGACAGATGAATGGATAAAGAAGAGGTGGTATATATATACAATGGAATATTATGCAGCCATCAAAAGGAATGAGATCTTGCCATTTGCAACGATGTGGATGGAACTGGAGGGTGTTATGCTGAGTGAA